TTAGTAGAGCCCAACAGGAGTGTGTCGTGTTCTCCAAAAGGGACTTACACCAAGTTCCACAGCAACATGGGACAATAGCTAAGGGGCCTATACCCCTCGTCAGGTGGCAGATAGACTATATTGGGCCTCTACCTGTGTCAGAAGGATATCGGTATACCACGATTTGTGTGGACACAGCTACTGGACTTCTGGTTGCTTTTCCTACCCGTTGTGCAGACCAGCAGATGACCAAAAGAGGCCTGGAGTGTCTCTTTGCCGCCTATGGCTGACCACAGGTAATTGAGAGTGATTAGGGCCCCCATTTTACTGGACATACACTGCAAGAATGGGTGCGACAGCTGGGAATCAAATGGAAGTTTCATGTGCCATACAATCCTACTGCAGCAGGCATGATAGGGAGGCACAATGGCTTGTTAAAATCCGGACTAGAGTCAGATACCAATAGTCTGTAGGGATGGTCAGTCCACTTATGGACTGTGCTATGGTGTTTGAATGAGAGATCCCGAAAGGGAGCCCTGAGCCCCACAGACATGTTAACACATATGGCTGCCTCCACTATACAACTGCAAGTACAAACCAAGGAAGAATCACTGAAGCTGCGGTTTGGCCACCAGAATGACATCTTGCTGCCAGCACCAACTGCACTGAACCCCAGGAGACTCCACTGAGTGGATGTGGCCTTGGACCTTTCGACACATGGGCCAATGATGGCTGGCTCTCCTGGCACCAAGGGGACAAGGCCTGGAAGCTGGCCTCCTGTGTATTCCTGGAATAACAGCAGAGTGGCTGCCAAAGGTCACAATAGTATATCCTGAATGGCAGAAGGTAGGAGCATCTTACTGGGGAGTTTTGTTTTATCATTATGGCCAGTGCATGCATCTCCAGTAGCACTACGTATAGACTCTTCAGTAACCCTCACAGGGAAAGGAGTAAAAGTATGCTATACTAGACCTGGAAGGGCCGCTCTTCCTGCTACAGTCCTATCACAGGACCACTCTCTTGCATGCATCCTACCTGATGGACAAGATTTGCCTTTATTGGTGTCATTAAAATCTGTGTCTTATTGCCCCTAAGGTCTTTGTGGATTGGGCTTCCTCTGGCTTGAGGATTATTATAATTTTTGTTACCTGTATCAAAATCTTGTTGTAGCTTAATTTTTGTTAGTATCTCTACGTTGTTGTTCTTCTCTGTTGCTGTTGTGGAGTCTGGTTACAGTGCTCCAGCTTTCTCACACAGGGACCATTGCGGAAGATTGAAACTGTGTATATTGTAAGGCGAGAATCCTGGAGGGGTAGAGTGTGGGGAAGTTGGGGTTCCTATGGCCAGATCCTCACTGAACTTAAACCACCTAATGATGTAACTGGCCTGTTGCTCGGCTGCCGCTTCCACACCTTTAGGCAATAAGCTATTATTGCACTAGATAGAGAGCCTGGCCCAGTGCTCTGGGTGGAGGCGGAGACACTAGTGCTTGACCTACTGCAGGGAGAACAAGCCAGGCAATAAACGCTTTCACCCCAAAGAACGTTTTGCTGTCAATTTCTTTGGTCACATTGAATCCATAGAGAACTTGCCTGGGGCTGAAACCCATTGGCGAGATAATAGCCATCTATTAAATCTATCCCTACCACTCCCACTTGAAATGCCATTCTGCACAAAAGCTTCCAATAAGTTTATCATGAAGATGGCCTGGCACTGCCACGAAGTGCTCCTGCCTGGCCTGTCTCCCACATTCCCTTTCCTTTTTCATAGTCTCTTTTTGAATCAACTGCTTAAGGTGAGCTTTTGAATCTCTACATCAATCATCTGGTCTGCCCTCTCCCACATCTCCAAGCCCTTCCTCCTGCTTTTTCTTTAAAATTTTGGCCAATTGGCCCCTAAAGAAAAATGTCCAGTACATTTCGGGACGGCTGTAGGCAGAGTAATGCCCTCTGAACGTGTCCATGGTCCCAAAGACTTTGGATATGTCAACTCATGTAGTAAAAGGCTACCAGGTTTGCAGATGGAATTAAATTAGTTAATTGGCTAACTTTAAAACAGATTATCCTGGATTATCTAGGTGAGCCCAATAATCAAAAGGGCAGAGAAGCAGAGAGTTAGAGGGAAATGTGACTGGAAGAATGGTTAGAGAGATGCAGGGTTTCTGGTTTAAAGACAGAATAAGGGAGCCTCTAGAAATTGGCCAAGGAAAGGAAATGATGTTCCCCTAGTCTCCAGAATGAAATGCAGCCCTGTTGACACCTTGATTTCAGCCCAGTGAAACCCATGTCAGATTCTATAGAACTGTAAGATAATTGTGTTGCCTTAAACCCCTGTGTGATCATTTTATTATGGAAGAAATAGATCAATAAACAATTCCTGCCTCCTGATTTAGTGGATCTCAACTTTAGCTGCACAGTAGAATCACCTGGAGATCTTTCACAAATCACACTCAGACCATTAAAGCAGTTTCTGGGGTGCAGAGCTTTGAATTTCCAGGCGATTCCATCCTGTGGCCAGGGCTAAGAACCTCTGCCCTGGGCTAACAACTATGAGCAGCTCTTTTCCTGCCTCTTGGTAACTGGGACCCCTAGGGGAAGAGGAAATGTAACATCCCCTACAAGGTGTATCAAGACTGCTTTTTGGGTAGAAGTGGGCTCCATCTGAATCTCTGGCCATTTAGCAGCTTAGTAATTAGAACTATTTTTTTCTGGAACCATTTGAGTGTAAATTACTGCTCTGATGCCCCATCACACTTGAGTGTGGATTTCTTACAAAGACATTCTCTTATATACCTACAATATGACCATCAAAATAAAAAAATAAAACTTATACATTTGTACCATTTAATCCTCAAACCCTATTGTTTTGCTAATCCCTACAGTATCCTTTGTAGCAAAAGGATTTGGTTCAGAATCACGTGTTGCCTTTAGCTGTCATGTCCCTTTAGTCTCCTCTGCTCTGAACCGTTCCTCAGTCTTTCCTGGGTTCTTGTGACCTTGACACTTTTGAAGATTACACTACCAACTTGGATTTCTCTGATGTTTCCCAACCATTGGATTCAGGTTATGCATCTTGACACGAGTACCACAGAGGTCATGCATCCTTTTTGGTAGGCACGATGTTGATTTGTCTTGTTGCTGATAGGGTTCACTGTGGTCACTTGATTAAGCTAATGTCCACCAGGCTTTTCCACTGTGAAGTTGCTCCTTAATTATTATGTATCTTATGGGACAACAGTTGATGTCAATACCCTGTTCCCCACAAACTCTCAATTTATTAATTTATGTCAGTATAGACTCATGCTTATTATATTGTATATGTTGTATTTTGTATTGCATAGTATTTATGTTGTATTCAGATTATAACTCATAACTGACATTACTTAGTTACTGATGTTTAATTTGTTCCATACTTGGCCCTGGGAGTTTTTTCAAGCTGGGCCCTGTGGCCTACATCCCTATCATTCTTTGAGCACTTATTTTCTGGAACAAAATGTTCCAAGCTCATCTTCCAGGCTATTCATGAACTGATGATGTTGGTGCTATTATTATTACCCCCATATTAGAGATGGGGAGATGTAGAATGCTCAGGATCCCACAGCTAGTTAGTTGTGGCAGGACTGTGAATCCAAACCATTGAGCTTAAGCTTGAGCTTTTTGCCTTTTATTTTGAAGTAATTTTAGACTTACAGGAAGTTTGCAAACCCAGTTTCTCTTAATGTTAATATTGACATTACCACAGTATGGTGATTGAAACCAGGCCATCACATTGATGCAGTGCTATTAATTTTGCTAGCTTCCCCAGCGAGGTCCTTTTCTGATCCAGGTTCTCATACAGCATTTTGCTGTGGTACCTCAGTCTCCTCCCATATGTGACAGTTCCTTAGTCTTTGCCTTCATAATGACACTTTTGAATAAGAGAACCATCCATTCATCTGTAGAGTGCCCTCAGTTTGGGTTTGCCTGATGGCTCCTGGCTAGACAGGTCACGTGGGAGCACCACAGGAGATGTTGGGCCCTTAGTGTATGTCAAGAGATAGTGACTTTATTACTGGAGATGTAGACGTTAACCATTTTGTTAAGGTGGTATCCACTAGGTTTCTCCAGTGTAAAGTTACTATTTTTCCTTCTGTAATTAGTATTTATCTTGTGGAGAGATATTTTGAGACAATGCAAATGCCTTATTTTTGCATCCGTTTTTGCCTGCAACTTTTAGTACTGTGGTGTTTGGCTAAAAGTGTTTCTTTTCTATTATTCCTTCTACATTAATTGGACTCCTACTGTAAGGAAGGACTGTTCCTCCTCCTATGTATACATGTATTCAATTATTTATATCAGATTAGACTCATGAATATTTGATTCTATGGCTTATAATCCATTACAGATTTGACCACTGTTTGCTGTGTCCCTTATTATTTAGTTCCTTTAGGTAAGTCCCCTCCCATTTTTGAATACTTCCTTACTTTACGGACTGCAAGAAATTCCAGACTCATCTTCTACTTCCTCTTGCCTCCAGATTTGGAATTTCTCCAGGGAGCTCTGGTTCCTTTTATTGAAGCATGGTATTTAGAAACTAAGATCTGAACACTTTATGTGCTCATTGCTATTGGGTGTCACTGACTAGATGTAGGCCCTCCAAGTGGATAGGCATATATATTCTAACCCTGTACTCACAGAGAGATGATTTATTTACTTCAGTATCTATTTGCATGTATATTAAGGACAATGAGTTCATACCTCCAACCCAACACAAAGTTCATCTGGCCTTACCACCTTATCTGTGGCTTTTTTCCAACAGTGAGAAACCCGGCAGGGTCAGAGCTCTGTAATCATACCATCCTTGCTAGAAGATGGAGTAGGGAGGTGTTGGCTTTAAAGGATGGGATTTTGACCAACAGAATGTGAAGTCATTCCCCATAGAGAGAACAGTATGAGTAGAGGTTGGCAGGCAAAGCAGGGCATGACAATGTGTAAGCCTAAAACAGGAAATCCCAAAGGGCCTGAATGAAATGCAACAATGTGTAGTGTGTGAAGGTGACTTCACCAGTGTCACATCAATTGTTTTATTCCATCAGGCAGTGAAGAACAGCTTGACATTCTGGATCATGAAGTGACAGAACCAAGGTTGTCTGGGATTTAGATCCAAGAGCAGATGGGCTGGATGGAGAGGGGAATGGAGCTATGGTCATGAGCTAGGGTGACAGTGGCCACCAAGGAAAAGAAATGATGGGTAGGAAAGGTACTACAGAAAAACCAACAGAACTTAGTAACTGACAGAATGTGGAGGAGGCAAGGGAAAGGGAGGAGTCAAAGTCATAAGGCTTCAAACCTGTGTGCTCGGGAGAAAGCAGTGCTATGAACAGAACCCCAAGGGGTTCTCTGTAAATTCTGTTTCCCATTGAAGGCACGTACAGGCTAAACTGCTCTGTGACCACAAAGCCTAACAAAATGCCTTGCAGAGACAGGCCTGGTGAAATGATCTCTCTCCTCCTACCTCATCTCCTCAGTTTGGGGCCCTCTCTTAGCCCCACCAACTCCAACTGCCTTCGACACACAGCTATGATGTCCATCTTCCCATGGCTGGCTGGCTATCACCCGGGACACACCTAAAAATCCTCTCAAGGCCTTGCACATGCTGGCCCCAAACTAGTTTTTTGGTTTACCTTGTATATAGCCACAAGCCCCATAGAGAGAACAGTGTGAGTAGAGGCTGACAGGCAAAGCAGGGCAGGACAGTGTGTGAGCCTCTCCTGCTGACTTGGGATCGCCTGGGTCCCCGCCCTTCTCTCCAGCCCCGCAGGTCTCAGGGATCTTCTCGAGCTCCTTCCTCCACCTAGAACACCCTCCCCTACCTGGGGAGCCCCTCCTGCACTGGTACAAGTCAGCCTGTCCCACCCGCTGGGTTGGATGCCCCTCCTCAGTCCCCACTTTCTATCAAAACAGCCTATTTATCTTCCTCCAGTGACCTGTATGTTTTCAGGGCAAAGACATGTAGTTTACCATTTGCCCCAGAAATGGCACCCTCCTGGGTATGCTTTAGGTGTTCAAATACTTGATGAAGGAAGGGCAGGGCAGACACTCTCTGAACCTGCTGCTCCCTCTGCCCCCACCGCCTCTTCCTTCGAAGCCTGCTCATCAGCACAGCCTTCTCCACCTCCTCCACTGCACTCCTTCCCGACTGCTCTGAGCGCTGAGCCGGCATTCCTGTTGGTCTGTCAGCCTGAGGTACAGCTGAGCTGGGAAGCAGAGCAGCCCAAACAGAACAGGAAAGGATGCAGCTACACCAAGTCCTGGCCCTGCCAGCACGAGGTCCTGTCCAGGAATAAGGCGGAGGAAGGCAGCCTCCTTCTCTGCTTCTCCTGGCAGACTGCAAGTGGGTAATGAGGCTGGGGAATTCTACCAACAGGTTGAGAGTCCAGTCTCCTGAGGCCTCCCGAGCCACGTTGCCCTGCCGACCATGGAAACTCTCGGGCTTCTGGCTGGAGCCAGTGCCACGCTTTGTTCTCACTGGTCCTTTCTCTCCAAGTCCCCAGGGATGAATGAACAAACAACAGCACAAAGAACCACAAGAAGTCAGAGCCACACACCAGGCCTTGTCCATCATTACTACAATCATTTACGAAAGTTTTTTTTCAGGCAACTGTGTTAAATTATTGTACATAAATGGGAAGAGGTGAGGGGCCTGGCCACAGGGTTAATGAAGACCTGTTTTGTGGGAGAGTGGGAGAAGTAAGTTTGCACCCCCTCAACCCCCTCTAGGTCTGACTGATTGAGTGGCTTTCCCTCAATAAGTGAAGACCATTAACCCTTTTGCACCCAGGGTACTGGGTAAAGAAGAGGGCGCAAGTCAATGAAGTGCTCTGAGGCGGAAACCATAACGAACCGTGGCTGCCTGAACCCCATGCACCCTCTGCCCTGGTTCTGAAGGGTCCGACCCTAGGCTGGATCCCCTCACTGGGGATGGAAGACTGCCCAGTACTCGGTCTACACAAGCCATCAACTCTGGAAGACGGGAGGATAGTGCGGCCCTCTGGGCTGCCCACAGGGTCAGGAAGAGGCGGTGGCACTAGCAGCAGTGACGCACCAGTGGGGAGCTGCCAGCCACTCCCCTCCTCCACCCCATTCCCCATGGCTCGTGACACAGGCACTCTGGCCCTGGGAAGAATCCTGTCGGACAAAATGGGGGCATTTGGGTGTCTGCCCTTGGAGCTCCAAGCAGCAGCCCTGAGGTTCAGTGCAAAGAACCACAGGCCTAACGGCCCTGCCAGGGAGACTCCCAGAACTACCCGAAGCTGGGTTCCTCAATTCCTACATTCTAGGTCAAGGCTCCCATCCCTGTGTGAAAGTGGGTGTGTGCATGTGTGCACATGCACACACACATGTATGTGCAGAAGGAAAGGCTGCTGGGAGGCACTGCTACATCACCTGCCCAGAATTCAAGGCGTGCATGGGACAAGACCCTAGCCTAGTGTGTGAGCCCAGACCAGACAGGACCGAGGGCCCTGGCTCCTCCTCCTCCCTCTCCCAACGTGACACGCCCTCCTCGTGGACACTAGAAGGTTTTACGATGAATAGCACGGGAGCCATCCTCTTCATACTCCTTTTTGGATACCCACATCTTCTTAAACGTGTCCAGTGAGGCCAGGATGGAGCCACTGTGAGGAGGGAGGGGACAGTATTCCTGTGGACCAAGGGCTGGGCCGACCACCCTCCCTGGGCACTCAGAGCTCTGTTTCCCTTACCTGGGAGGAAAATCCACCCCCCTCCACTTGGCCTGGGCCAACCCTGGGAGGAGGGTCCAGGGTAAAGCGGTCTCCTCCCAGAGCCCTCCCTGTAAGCCCCGTCTCACCCGATCCATGTGGAGTACAACCGCTCCTGAGGGGCCGAGATCTGGAGGGAGCAAGCGCAAGGTGACGCCTCACCCTGCCTAGCAGCCCTGTCCCAGCCCTGGGGGCTTTTCCACCCAAGGCCTGGTGCCAGACAGTGAGTGCACCAGCTTGGGCAACAGTGTGGCTGAGTGGGGAAGAGCAGGAAGGGAGAGGGCCTCTGGAGGGGCACCTAGCCCCTCCTCCCTGATCAAGGCTGCCCAGCACCCCCACGCCCCATGGGGGCTCCCCATAAGCTCACCTTGATTTTGACGTCCTTTGGGGCAAGCTTCTTCACTTCACTTAGTAATCGGTCACCAAAGCCTGTGAACACAAGGCTGGCTGAGCCCAGGGTCTACATCTGGCCCGGTTGCCACTAGGCTCCCTCGTCTCCAACCTCTGGGAACTCCCTGCCTCCCCAGCTGCTGCTATCCATCTTTCAGTAGTTCTTTCCAAGAGTAAGGGGAGGGCTGAGCCACCCCAGGACAAATCAGATCCAGCAGCATGCCTGCAGGTGCCCAGCTTCCTCAGAGAGGTGGCATGAGATGACCCCAAATCACACAGCTCTGCAAGACCCCTACGCTCTCCCCCACCCAACACCCCAGAAGGCAAAACACACCAGAAGCAAAGTCAGAGACAGATGACACGTCAGGAAGGTATGTCTACCATTTCTACCCATCAGATGGGCAAAGATCACACAGCACTGGGAGGGTACTGGGGGCCTCTGGTCTGTAACTGGTGGCATAAGTGGTCTAACCTCTCAAGATGGATCCGTTGGCAGTGCTCACCAAACACCAAACACACCCACCCACCGTCTGACCCAGCTATTCGACTCCTAGGATTTATCCTTTAGGTATGTTCTCATCACATGAAATGAGGGGCCTGAGGGTATCCACGGCAGCATCTCTGGGATTAGAATGATTACAATGGCTTCAAGGGCCATCATCAGGATGAGGGTTGAACAGCGCATCCATCAGTGACACACCACATGGCCACATAAGAGAACTTACGCTGACAGGGAGAGCTCTTCAGATATGGGGCTAAGTGATGGACGTATGGTGCACAACTTGCAGAGTATGCTACAATTAGCGTAAAAGAGGGAGTGAGGGAAATGCGCATTTGCAGAGATGTTGCTGAGAGCAAACCCAGATGCTAACACCCTGTGGGGAGGGAACTGGTGGACCAGGAAAATGGAGAAGGGAGACTTTATCTAATACATTTTAGCCCTCGTGTAAACTTATCACGTATTTATAATGTAAGTAAAATTTAAATTTAAACCTGTCTTTTAAAAAAAAGGCTTGCTGAGCACCAAAAAGCCAATAGAAAATGGGCCATGTCCCAGGCCCCAGGGAGAGGAGTGAGGTCTGAGGGCCTGGCTTCCCTTGGCTTCCAAGGTCTCACCAACACCTTCCCAACTATGGCACCTTTGAAAAGTGTGGAGCCACCCGAAAGCACTATGTTGGCAAACAGCGTCCGGCGCAGGTCCATGTCGGACTTGTGAATGGCGAAGGCCAGCACCTCATGTAGCCCCTCACTCTCATCCCCTATCAGGTCCGGCTGGAACAGCAGTTCGGGGGCCCGGAACCGCGCTGGTCCCACCTTTGGAACACAAGATCGAGGCAGACAGGCCTCTTCTTCATCCATGTCCCAGTGTGATGGCCACTACCCAGTGCAAGGCTTGCACAACTTACATCAAGTGTGCTGCCATCCGGCAGGGTGTACTGCACCTTCTCTGTCTCTAAAGCTTCATCCTTCTGTGGGTTGATGGACAGGTAGCAGGCTCGCTGGGTGGACAGGGACACAACTCTCAGCAGGCTGCAATCAGGAAACCTGCACCCAGGGCTCAATCTCATGCTATGGGCCCACCATGGCTCATTTCCCCACCCACGCCATTCTGTGCCCTCCTGCCCTTGGTCACCTCTTTGATGGTCCGGACAACCTCAAACTCAGCCGAGGTGTGAAAGTCAATGCCTTCCTTGCGCAGCAGGAGCCGGAGATAGCGGGAGATGTCGCGGCCAGCAATGTCCACCCTCACGATAGAGTGTGGCATGGCAAAGCCCTCGTAGATGGGGACAGCATGAGTGACCCCGTCTCCTGAGTCTAAAACCACTCCTGTCGTGCGTCCTGTTGCGTACCTGTCACCAGGTCAGCATCCCTTCACCTCAGCCACTGAGGCACAGGGACCTCCTCACCCCTGAAGGGGACCCTGGGACATTTGCATTATCTGGTCTGAAAAAGGGACACAAGAAACACCCTAAAGGAACAATCACAAGGGGGCTGTTTCTACAGGGAAGTCAGACACCTGGTCACTTTGAGCAGGAGGATGGCCACAGGGAGGATGGGGACCAGGGGACCCCAGGGCCTAGGGAGCACTCACAGGCTGAGCACGGCCTGCATGGAGATAAACAGTGCTGGCACATTGAAGGTCTCAAAGAACACCTCGGCTGCCTTTTCCCGGTTCTTACTTGGGTTGAGTGGAGCTTCCGTTAGCAGAACAGGATGCTACAAGAGATGGCAGAGCTTGGGCATGGGCAAAGACATGTGCTAGACCCTGAAAGGACTTTGCTGAGAGCTGGGGCACCCGCTGTGAGCACATGCAGTGCAGGCCACTATGCTTCCCAAGGGTACCATCCTGTTAAGTGCCAGCGGTCACTCTTCCAAGGACCCAGTTCTTGGAAATATTCTGCCTGGCAACTGCTGACCGTGTGTAACACATGAAGAGGCAGCAGGCCCTAACAAAATGCAGAGGCAGTGTGGAAGCCTGGGCAGGAAGAAGTGGAGCAAGGAGAGGGCCAGCCGGGTGAATTTGGGGCAAGGTGGAGGGGCTGGCTGCCGCACCTCCTCGGAGAAGGTCTGCAGCTGATCCTTGGAGTAGATATACTGCCAGATGCGTTCCATGTCATTCCAGTCTCTCACCACACCATGCTCCATGGGGTAGCGGATGGCCAGCAGCCCCCGGTGCTCCTGGGAGGGGTGGGAAGCCAGCTGTAGCACCAGGCCCCTCAGCCAGCGACGGCTTTCTGCCTTCCTGGAGCTGCCCCTCGTCTGCCCTGAACAGAGCCACCACTGCTTACCGGGTGTCCTTGTGCCCTGTGGTGGGTCTGGAACTCAGCACAGGCTCATCCATCTAAGAGATTCTCAAGTGGTCAGAGCCCAGCCAGCTTCAGAAGTCGGGGACGAGGGAGGGTGGCGATGTGCTCCTTCCATCCCCCAGTCCCTCCCCTTCCTCCCCGGCCATGCTTCTCAAGCTTCTCTGTACCCAATGCCAAGATGTTCTCCCCGACTCTCTCACACACTGCCTGGGTCCCATTCCCACCATTCCCTGGTCACTGTTCCCATCAGCACCAGGGGCTACCTCATGGCTTATCCTATGTGGTCCCCTCCTGGGCACTGCTGCCCACGACTTTCCTCAGCTCTTCAGCCAGTGCTTATGTCTCTCCCACAGACAAGTCCCTTGATGCTCCCCCTGCCCCCATAGTGTGCCCCTTCTTGCCACTTGGCCTCTCTCACCCACAGCCATGGCTCCTACTGACCCCATCCCTCAAGAGTCCCATATCTGCATCTCCAGGTTGTGTTCCCCAGGTGCCTAAACTACACTTGCCTGTTGTTGCCACCCCCATCCACACCTGCCTCTCTTCTCAAGGGCCTCATTTGGTCCCTAGGCAAGTCATCCCATCTGGAGCACGAGGCTGTCCCCACGGCTCTTGTTTGGATCTCTCACCAACTCTGGGTGATCGAGACTCTTAAGTCACTTTTTAATCAGTTCTTTCCTCTGTAGCTTCTAAAAAGCAGGGCATTAAGTGCTCTGTGTTTCCCCACACAGGACCCATCACTTCATCTCACAGAGCAAAGGGCCCACCGTGCAGTACTTCAGAGCTGGAGTCTGGAGAGTCCAGGAGAGCACCTGGCAGAGGGCCCTGGGGCCAGATTCCTAGGGGCCTCTCAGGAGGCACAGCTCTGACCACCAGCTAATGCTCCTGGGACTATGAAACCCCAAACCCAGGCAAAGGCAGACTCCACAGGTGTTACCTCTGCTTTCGGTCCGATGAAGAGGTCCCCCTCCAGGGCTCCAGCCATTACCCGCATGTGCTTAGGGCGCCCGACACTGTGAGGACAAGTAAAATCAACAAGGTGGGCAGGGGGCACAGCCATGTCCACATCCAGAAAAACCAAAGTCCAGCTCCAAAGGTCAAGAGGGTAACTGTATTATAAAGCATCAGGATGTGGCTATGGGTCAAGGTCAGAAGCCAGGCCTATGATTATAGAGCAGGCCTTGGTGGGATGGAACACGCAAAAGAAAAGGTGTCCCTTCCATGCCTCGCACTTCCTCCCAGAGAGGGCCAAATACTCTAGAATCTCAGCCCTCCTTGACCCAGCCCTGGCAGAGGGTCAGCTTCTGCAGCCACAATGACTCACTCAGCCAACACCCTTGATTTCAGGAGGGCAGAGATGCTCCACCATCTGCAGACCAAGGGACAATGGCCCTGGGTAGCTGGATCACAGCTCCCTTGAGCACCCCTGTCTCACTTAGTTGATCCTGTCCTTTTCTACTGCCAGGGCTTCCAGAATACAGATTCAGGCTTGGAAAATTGGATAAGCTCCATTCCAAAATTTGACCCAAGTTCCCTGCACATCAACAGGAAAACTTTTCATTACAGCTAAAGGAACCTTTAATTACACCCAAGTGAGGGGCAGAAAGGAAAGCTAAAGCCCAACAGGGTATGCTGGCTGTGTCCCCAGACTGGGCCTGGGGTTCTTGGTATAGCCAGTTGTTCTGGGGGCATTAGGATCCACACCACCCCTGCTGAGGCCAATCACTCCCAAGCCTCCAGGATTTGAGAAGAAGCACTACAGAGGGAAAACTTCCCAATGGGCTAGAGTGGCCCAAGGAGCTCCCAGCTTCAGGGAAGGACTTCCCTTGATGGGAACAAAGTATCTATAAACAAGCCCTGAAGAAAACATCTCCTGGGAGAAAGAGGTGGCTGTGCATTAACTCCCCATTCTTTTCCCTCTGAGTTTAGGTCTTTCTCCTGATGGCTCCCTTTTATTCTTGCTGTTGCTACCATACCCTGTCCCCAAGGGAATGCTGGCAGCTTCGCCTCCTCCCTGCGTCAAGGGACCAAAATCAGACTCTAAGGAAGGGAAGCCCAGAGAACTTGCTTCATCCCTCCAGAACTCTTCACAGTGATAGCACGAATCTGGTGTTTCCCTTATAGGTGGGGCAAGAGTTGGCCTCTAAGACGTGGCTGTGACACAGGGCCAGTGTTCTCCCAGGAAACCAGTAAAAGGGTTAAGCTGCTGCCTGAGCAACACTTACTAGTTTGCGAAACAGTATTTGGGAATCTGGTCTCCTGCAAAGCCAGCCTTGATCACCCCTGAACCCTGCAAGGAAAAGTAATGTTTAGCTTCTGACATCAGCTCCAGATGAGTGCCCTACAGCAGAGAGAGCTGGCTGCCTCACCACGGGGAGGTGAGCCTGGAGAGGAGGCCTGAGGTCCTGCCAAGAGGGCAAGATCATGTACAAGTACACCAGGGGTTCAAAACCGGGGTGATTGTGCACCCCTTCACCAAATCTGACAATGTCAGGAGACTGGGGAGGGGAGGGGAGGGTGAAGGCCGGAGATGCTGCTAAACACCTTCTAATCACAGGCCAGCACCTCGCAACCAATATTATCCAGCCCAGAATGCCAGTAGTGCAGAGACTGAGGTACCAGGGAGTACATGTTGCTCTACACTCACTCTCTAGGGTCAGCTCCAGGCAGGAGGAATCCATAGCAGCAAGAGCTAACCCCCAAAACCAGCTACAAGTAATCCCTAAGAATAGTTTTTACAATAGCCCCTGGCACTCTGCCCCTCCAGGAACACGGACCATGTCCGGTACCTGCCGGGAAAGACCCCTGGGTGCACAGGGTAAAACTGGCACCTCTCCTCAAGTGGCTTCCCTGCGGAGACCAGAGGCAGAGGAGAACTCGGTCTCACTACTGCTCCAGTATGGAAGCTTGACCTAGGGTCTTTTTTTTTAGAGGGCATCTCTCATATTTATTGATCAAATGGTTGTTAACAACAATAAAATTCTGTATAGGGGAGTCAATGCTCAATGCACAATCATCAGTCTCCAATCTTCTGAAGCATAATGAACAAGTTCTTACATGGTGAACAAATTCTTACATAGTGAGTAAGTTCTTACATGGTGAACAGTACAAGGGCAGTCATCACAAAAACTTCCGGTTTTGATCACTCATTATGAACTATAAACAATCATTGACCTAGGGTCTTAAAGGAACCCTTCACCAATGAAAGAATCAGCATCTCAAACCCAATTCCGAAAAGGACAGATCTCTGAAGAGGACAGCCATTTAGGGACTGCATGGGGGACATGTGGAAGGGAGACAGATCCCAGAAGGAGAAGTGACTCATCATCAAAAACGCCAAGGCTTATACACCAGAGGCAGATATTCAGCTAGGGGTGGATCTATAGATCCCTGCCCTTCATTTTCTTCCCATGGACCAGAAATTTCTGAGGCCATAAATCCTCAGAGGGCAGCTGCAAGCATACTGAAACCCAATGCTTGAAAGACAAGGCCACAAGCAAGGCAGGCAACTTTCCTCTGAGGCTTCCAGACATTTATCCCAAACTGCTTATGGGTCCTGGGAAGAGTGGTCCTGAACTCTCTCCACTGCTCTGCCAGATCTGGAATTTCTGCTCAGCACAGGAGCACTTAAGAAGAGGGTCAAAGTAGCCAAGTGGCCAACCAGGTGGTGGTGCATTTGTGGTTGGCCTTAACTTGCATAAACCCCAGGCCCAGGGAAAGAGCGCGGTATAGCCTTTCCACGTTGGAGCCCATGCCTGGGGGTGCAGACCCTGGGGGAGTGCTGTTGTAGAGGGCACGAGAATAACCCTGTCCATAACACGAGGCCAGCAGTGTCCAAAACGGCAAATGCCATCTCTCCTCCACTAGGAGAAGCAGCCAGAGCCGGAGCCCAAGGACGGATCAGGGGGCTGGGGTCGAAATCCGCCCAGCTGGCCACTCTCAACCGAGAAGGTCCGGGGTGCCTCCGGAGTCGGATACCGAGGGGCACCGGCTGCGCCGCCCAGCTGTCACTCCAGCTCTCCCGATGCTGACCATGGGCCGCCAGACGGAGGGGACCCTTGCCTCTCCTATTCTCTGCACCCGAATCGGGGAAGGCTTGGGCAGCAGCTCTGCGGGGCCGCCGACGGGGCTGGTCCCCAGGCTCGGGCTACAGGGTGGCTGGCAGGCAGGGAGCGGAGAAAGAGCCCTGGCGAGAGAGGGTCCCTCCCGGCGCCCGCCCTCCCCCCGGCTGGCGAGCCTCACGTTGTCGACGACCACGGGCTGGTTGGCGATGATGTCGTAGGACTCCATGGCCGGGCCGGGCCGGGCCGGGCCGGCCCTGCCCAGCAGGCAGGCTGCAGGAGGGACCGGCTAGCGGGCAGTCGGGCAGACAGCGACCGCAACAGCTCCAGAAGTGGCGCTGCACCCCGCTCCCACCCCGAGTGCGCAGTCTACGCGAGCCGGGCGGGGCTTGCTGGGGTATGGGCCCCGCGGCAAATCACCACCCCGACCTGGGCAGATTGACGGCGGGTGCCCTGTGCCTGCTGCGGTCACAGGGGCGGGGCCGCCGGGTGCTGGCCAGCCAATTGAGGCCGCCCGGAAGGCCGGCCTGGGCGCTTCCAAGGTAAGCTGCGCTCGGTGGGGATGACGTCATGGCTCCGCTCCCAAAGGGGCCGGGGCTGTAGTCAGGCAGGCTGCGAGTTTGCGGGTCTGGAAGACTGGTTGTGGGAGCCCCAGCACCTCCGATCACTCACTTTCGTGAGCGCGCAGTTCCCGAGGAGGTGAACGCTGGTTATTGCACCCAGAACATTTCTTTGTGGAGCACCGAGAAGGATCCTTTTCCTTGTAAAAGTTAAATTCCGTGGCAATTCAGTAGCTAGCGTTAATCGAGTACCTGCTATGTGCTTACACTTCTACCCAGTTCACATAGATTATTTTAAATCCTTGCAAAAAGTTAATCGAGTACCTGCTATGTGCTTACACTTCTACCCAGTTCACATAGATTATTTTAAATCCTTGCAAAAAGTCTAACAGGTAGTTGTATTATTGTCCTCATTTTACAGATTTGGGAACTGAGGAGCCTCACACATAACTAGCCCAGAGATCTGAGGAGGAAGAGCCCAGAAACTTTACTTTAGAGGGAGAAAAGAACAAAGAGAAGAGGGAGGTGGGTGAGAGAGGGACATGTGAGACCCCTAAACATACCAGGCCCACCACTCCCCCTTTGCTCCTTCTGCCCACCCCTCCACATCTCCCCCTTTTCTCACCAGTCAGTCACCCTCTGATCTTTGCAATTTCAGTAGCTGTAAGTTACACCCACTTTACTAATAAAGAAAAGATGTACCCTGCAGGTGGGTTCTTAGCACATGTGGAAGAGCCCACAGGGCAGGGTCTTTGGGGACTTCCCTGGAAGACAGACCCCCTAAGAAGGACAGACATGAAGGAATGCTGAGCCTCATGCCATCTTCTCCTTTTTACTGTAGACATCCAGTTGTAGCCACCAATGATTTGAGAAAAATAAGCGATCAGCCAAAAAAGTGTTAAGGAAATCCGGTCAATTAAACCAACTCTGAAAATGGGATGAGTCCTTTCTGCATCCTGAGTACCCCTGTGATTTTGGTTGGATTCCGTTTTGCTCTTTCCTTGGGGCCTTAGGGTAGAAGATTGGGGTGAATTCAAGAGTTAGATGTCTGGGTTTCATTTGCCACCCTTGACTCAGAATCTTATCATTCGATTTCACTTTTGTATGTCTCATAGATGAAAACATAGGATTATTTAATTAGACATTGCATTTTCTTGTAGTGTTATTGAGATATAAATGGCATATCATAAATTGCATGGATATAAAGAATATAATCTAATCAATTTTGACATAGGAATATACCTGTGAAACCATTTTCCCTGATGAAGATAGTGAAGCTATCCATTGCCCTTTATCATGCACCTTTGTATCCCTCTCTCAGCTACTCGTCCTACCCCTTTCTTCATTCTTAGGCAAACATTAGCTAGCTTTCTCTACTGTAGATAAGTTGTTATTTTCTGGAATTTTACATTTTCTATAATATAATATATATATATTCACAATTACAATGTAGAATTAATATACTTAAGTATATAGAATAAATTGTAGTAATTATAGTGGAATTTTAAGTTGTATGTAAATGGACTAAATAAATGGGCCTATACAGTATGTATTTCTTTTGTTGTCCAACTTCATTGGAGCATAATTATTTTGAGACTACTTCATGTCATTGCATACAACATATTTGTTATTTTTAATTGCTTAGTAATATTTAGCCACATGGACATACCACAGTTTGTTTATATTCACCTATTGTGGCTATTGGTTATTTCCAGTTTTTGCCTCTTGCACTCAAAGCTACTATGAACATCCATGCATAGTTGTGTGGACATCTGCTTTCATTTCTCTTGGGTAAATATGTAGGAGTGGAATGGCTGGATCAGATAGGAAGTGTACGTTTAATGCTTTGAGAAAATGCTGTTTTCCATAGGGTTGTACCATCTTGCATTTTCACCGGCAGTGTATGAGAGAGTTCCCATTGTTTTACATCCTCACCATTTGCTATTGTCAGTCTTTCAAACTTTTAGTTATTCTAATAGTTTTAATGTGTATCTCCTTAATGACTAATAGTATTGAGCATCTTTTCATGTGTTTATTTGCTATCCATGTATCTTCTTCAGTAAAGTGGCTTCAAATCTCAATCCCGTATTTAAATGGGTTGCCTACTTACTAAGTTGTAAGAGTTCTTTATATGCTCTAAATGCAAGTCTTTTGTAAATATTGCTTTTCTTCCTTATTGTAACAGGTCTTTTGAAGAATGTTATTTATTTTGTTGAAGTCCAAATCTAAGTCAATAAGAATTTCCCTTATATTTTACTCTAGAAGTACTATAGTTTAAGCTCTTACATTTAAGTCTATGCTTCATTTTAAGTTAATTTTGCATATGCTGTGAGGTAAGGGTTGAGGTTCATATTTTTTTGTATGTTTCTATCAAATTATTTCAATATTATTTGTTCAGAAGAATATACTTTCTCCATTGAATTGCTCTGTTTGATTAGTTGATTGACCTATTTGTATGAATTTACTTTTGGATCCCTTATTCCATTCCATTGATCTATATGCTAATAACACATGGTCTTGTTTACTGTATAAGGCTTGAAATCAGGTCATATAATCCTCATTTGTTCTTTTTTTTCAAGTTGTTTAGAACATTCTAGGTCATTTTGATTGCCATACAATTTTAGGGTCCATTTCTGTAAGGAAGCCTACTGGGATTTTTATTGGTTTTGCTCTATCAACTAATTTGAGGAGAACTCATCTTAAAAACATGTATCTTCTGATCCATAGCATTGTATGTCTCTTCCTGTGTTAGGTCTTTTAAAATGCCTTATTATTATGTATTCTAAAAGTCTTTAGTGTATAAGTATTTTAGTCTTTCATCAAATTTATCCCTATTTCATTTTTTTGATGCTGTTATCAATAATGTTATTTAAAAAATGTAAATTTCTACTTGTTCAATGTCAATGGCTAGAAATAAATTGATTTTTAAAATAGATTTTATTTGAAAGACATTTTAGGTTTACAGAAAAATTGTGTAGGATGTAAGAGTTCCCATATATTTCCACCTCTTCCCCCCACTTTCTTCCATTAACATCTTTCATTAGTATGGTACACTTGTTACAACTGAAGAACCAGTACTGATACATTATTATTAACTAAGGTCAATAGTTAATGTCAGGGTTCACTCTTGGTGGTGTACATGGTATGGGTTTTGACAAATACATAATGTTATGCATTCACCTTTACAGCATCATACAAAATAGTTTCAGGACCCTAAAAAAGGCCTCTATGTTCCACCTATTCATTTTTCCCTGCCCCTTGGCAACCAGTCATCTTTTTACTGTCTGTATGGTTTGGTCTTTTACAGGATATCATATGGTTGGAATCATCTGGTATGTAGTTTTCAGGTTGGCTTCTGTCTCCTAGTAAGATGCATTTAAGTTTCCTCTGTTTTTTGTGGCTTGATAGCTCATTTCTTTATCTTACCAAATAATATTCCATCGTCTGGATGAATCACAGTTTGTTTATCCATCCACCTATTGAAGGACATCTTAGTTGCTTCCAGTTTTTTCAATTATGAATAAATCTGTGCTGTAAACATTCCAGTGCAGCTTTTTGTGTGGACATAAGTTTTCAACTCATTTGGGTAAATACCTAAGAGTCCCATTGCTGGATGGAACCTATGTTTAGGTTTGTAAGAAGGTCCTAAACTTCATTCCAAAGTTGCTGTACCATCTGGCATTTCCACCAGCAATGAATGAGAGTTCCTGTTATTCCACATTGTCATCAGCATTTGGTATTGCCAGTCTTTTAGATTTCAGCCATTTTAACAGGTGTGCAGCAGCATCTCATTGTTTTAATTTGTAAATCCCTAATGCCGTATGATGCTGAGTATTCTTTCATGTGCTTATTTGCTATCTCTATAGGTTTATGTTTGGATCTTTTGCTCATTTTTTTTTCTTTTTGTTTTTTTGGTATCATTAATATACACTTACACGAACAACACTGTGGTTACTAGATTACCCCCATTATCAAGTCCCCACCACATACTCCATTACAGTCACTGTCCATCAGCATAGTAAGATGCTGTAGAATCACTACTTGTCTTCTTTGTGCTATACTGCCTTCCCCATGCCCCCCCTACATTATGTGTGCTAATAATAATGCCCCCTTTTCCCCTTATCCCTCCCTTCCCATCCATCCTCTCCAGTCCCTTTCCCTTTGGTAACTGTTAGTCCATTCTTGGGTTCTGTGAGTCTGCTGCTGTTTTGTTCCTTCAGTTTTTGCTTCGTTCTTATACTCCACAGATGAGTGAAATCATTTGATACTTGTCTTTCTCTGTCTGGCTTATTTCACTGAGCATAATACCCTCTAGCTCCATACATGTTGTTGCAAATAGTAGGATTTGTTTTCTTCTTATGGTTGAATAATATTCCATTGTGTATATGTACCACATCTTCTTTATCCATTCATCTACTGATGGACACTTAGGTTGCTTCCATTACTTAGCTATTGTAAATAGTGCATAGGGGTGCATCTGTCTTTTTCAAACTGGGCTCCTGCATTCTTAAGGTAAATTCCTAGGAGTGGAGTTCCTGGGTCAAGTGGTATTTCTATTTTTGTTTGTTGAGGAAACTCCATACTGCTTTCCACAAAGGTTGAACTAATTTACATTTCCACCAGCAGTGTAGGAGGGTTCCCCTTTCTCCAGATTCTCGCCAACATTTGTTGTTGTTTATCTTTTGGATGTTGGCTGTCCTAACTGGTGTGAGGAGATATCTCATTGTGGTTTTAATTAGCATTTCTCTGATTATTAGGGATGTGGAGCATCTTTTCATGTGCCTGTTGGCCATCTGAATTTCTTCTTGGAGAAGTGTCATTCAGATCCTCTGCCCATATTTTAATTGGGTTATTTGCTTTTTGTTTGTGGAGGTGTGTGAGCTCCTTGTATATTTTGGATGTCAACCCCTTATCAGATGTCATTTATGAATATATTCTCCCATACTGTAGGATGCCTTTTTGTTCTACTGATGGTGTCCCTTTACTATACAGAAGTTTTTTAGTTTGATATAGTCCTACTTGTTCATTTTTGCTTTTGTTTCCCTTGCCCATGGAGATATGTTCATGAAGTAGTTGCTCATGTTTACATTCAAGAGAGTTTTGCCAATATTTTCTTCTGGGGGTTTTATGGTTTCGTACCTTACATTCTGGTCTTTGTTCCATTTTGAGTTTACTTTTGTGTGTGTAGTTAGACAGTAATCCAGTTTCATTCTCTTACATGTAGCTGTCCAGTTTTGCCAACACCAGCTATTCCAATTCCACTAGGAGTGGAAGAGTCTGTCATTTCCCCATTGTATGTCCATGGCTCCTTTAGTGTATATTGACCATATATGCTTGGGTTTATATCTGGACTCTCTATTCTGTTCCACTGGTCTATGGGTCTTTTCTTGTGCCAGTACCAAATTGTCTTCATTACTGTGGCTTTGTAGTAGAGCTTGCAGTTGGGAAGTGAAATCTCCCCTGCTTTATTCTTCCTTCTCAGGATTGCTTTGGCTATTTGGAGTCTTTTGTGGTACCATGTGAATTTTAGAATTATTTGTTCCAGTTCATTGAAGAATGCTGTTGGTATTTTGATAGGGACTGCATTGAATCTGTAGATTGCTTTAGGCAGGATGGCCATTTTAACAATATTAGTTCTTCCTACCCAAGAGCATGGGATGAATTTCAATTTATTAGTATCCTCTTTAATATCTCTTAGGAGTGTCTTGTAGTTTTCAGGGTATAGGTCTTTCACTTCCTTGGTTTGGTTTATTTCTAGGTATTTATTCTTTCTGATGCAATTGTGAGTGGAATTGTTTTCCTGATTTCTCTTTCTGCTAGTTCATCATTAGTGTATAGGAATGCAACAGATTTCTGTGTATTAATTTTGTATCCTGCAACCTTGCTGAATTCAGATATTAGTTGTAGTAGTTTTGGAATGGATGTTTGAGGATTTTTTATGTACAATATCATGTCATCTGCAAGCAGGGACAATTTGATTTCTTCATTGCCAATGTGGATTCATTTTATTTCTTTTGTGTTGTCTGATTGTCATGGCTAGGACCTCCAGAACTATGTTGAATAAAAGTGGGGAGAGTGGGCATCCTTGTCTTGCTCCCAATCTTAGAGGAAAAGCTTTCAGCTTCTCGCTGTTAAGTATAATGTTGGCTGTGGGTTTGTCATATATGGCCTTTATTATGTTGAGGTACTTACACTCCATACCCATTTTGTTGAGAGTTTTTATTATGAATGAATGTTTAATTTTGTCAAATGCTTTTTCAGCATCTGTGGAAATGATCATGTGGTTTTCTCCCTGTTTGTTGATGTGGTGGATGATGTTGATGGATTTTTGAATGTTGTACCATCCTTGCATCCCTGGGATGAGTCACACTTGATCATGGTATATGATTCTCTTAATGAAATGTATTTTTGAATTCAATTTGCTAATATTTTGTTGAGTATTTTTGTATCTATCTTCAGTAGGGATATTGGTCTGTAGTTTTCTTTTTTTGTGGTGTCTTTGCTGGCTTCATAGAATGAGTTTGGAAGTATTCCCTCCTCTTCTATTTTTTGGAAAACTTTAAGGAGAACGGGTATTATGTCTTCTCTAAATCCCTGATAAAATTCAGCAGTGAATCCATCTGGTCTGGGAATTTTGTTCTTGGGTAGTTTTTTGATTACCGATTCAATTTCATTGCTGGTAATTTGTCTGTTTAGATTTTCTGTTTTTTCCTGGGTCAGTCTTGGAAGGTTGTATTTTTCTAGAAAGTTGTCCATTTCTTCTAGGTTATCCAATTTGTTAGCATATAGATTTTCATAGTATTCTATAATAATTCTTTGTATTTCTGTGGGGTCCATCGTGATTTTTCCTTTCTCATTTCGGATTCTGTTTATGTGTGTAGATTCTCTTTTTTTCTTAATAAGCTTGGCTAGGGGTTTATCTATTTTATTTTCTCAAAGAACCAGCTCTGGGTTTCATTAATTTTTTCTACTGTTTTATTCTTCTCAATATTATTTATTTCTTCTCTGATCTTTATTATGTCCCTCCTTCTGCTGACTTTGGGCTTCATTTGTTCTTCTTTATCCAGAGTCAATAATTGTGAGTTTAGACTATTCATTTATGGAAGTTATCCACTTATGTTGCTAACTAATTCTGTATTCAGGGATAAAAATGGCTAAGATGGATGAACCACAGTAAAATGACTCTGTGCTACCTTTAGCTGATATTCTAAATGCATAATTAGTCATATTAATAGTGGCAAAAGTTTGGTTTAAAAAATGTGACCTTTCTGTTCTTGAGTTTCCAGCCTGGGCATATAGACACTCTGGCTTATGTGTAGCTAAATCATTTTGTGCACAAGAACCCACAGCATATGTTGGACTGTGAAGTGCACAAGAGGACCCCTGATGTAAATGGTACTCATTGGATGCTGCAGTGATGCTGCTATCAGCAGTAGCTGGTGGTAAATCAACTGTCATAGGCAGTCTACTGTCCTTGGTCATAAAATCATGGATGCGTGTCCTTCGAGTAGTCCCTTCGGCAGTAGAGATCATACTGCTTGTGCGAGGTAAGTGGCAGAAGGATTACTATCTTTTGACTGTCGTGACAGAGAAGTTTCTTTTACTAATTTTATCTTTCCTTGTGTGCCTAGTGTAGGTTTTCCTGGAGAACTAATGAAATAAGTATCTTCAGTCTTTTGAGGACCAGGTTTTACAAATTGTTCAGGCTTAGTTGTCTGTCTATCATAGAAGTCTCCTGGAGATCTCCCACTTACTGACCTGGCCAGACCACAGCTAACTGGTTTGTTTTTTCCCAAAAAGTCAGAAGAGACAGACAAACTTTTCATTACTTCATCTAAAAGATTTTCTTGATTTGAGGACTTTATCTGTTAAAAAAAATCAAAGCAGATTAGTGAATACAGCCATGTTTTTACTTTCCTGATACATTAGACTATATGATATAAAATCATTAGTATCTCTAAACACTCCTTTAAAAAGAAAAGCTCTAAAGTTTGATCACAGAAATTTAACTGTAGTGTCCTTCTAAATTAAAGTAATCATAGATAAAACTAACCTGTATTGAGGTAAACTTATTGCTTTCTTCTAAAAACTGTTGCAGAGTAACAACTTCACTTCCAGGGGAACCAGTGTTGAACTTGTGGTGTGCTCGACTCTCTAATGTTTCAGGCATTTTGTGCTGGAGCACTGGACTTGATCTGGCTTGTCTTTTCAAATGCTGGATTGGACTGCTACCCCTGCTGGATCAAGCCTCACGGTCATGAAGTAGGCTAAATTCTCCAGTGCTGTGGCTTTGTGGCCTGCTTTGGGTAGTATCTGTATCTGCTTTGGGAGTAAATGATGCATTTAGAGTTTAATAATAGAAATGAGATAAAAACTAAGTAAGTAATAAAATTTACTGACTAGATTTTATGAATAGCCAGACTGACTTTCAAGCTTTGTTTAGAAATGCTTAAGCCATGTTAATCTTTCATTCAGTCTACCATAGCCCACTTCCTTATTTTGTCAAATTGACAAACATAAGCTTCACAAGGGCAAAGATTTGCTTTCATCACCTTACCCAGAGCCTAAACATACAAAACAAACACTTGGTATGTTTAATGAATGAATGAATGAATAAATAAATGAGTAACACATTTTTAAAAAATTCAGGTTCAAATAATTATAAAACACCTCACAATTTTGAAAACATGATTATATGAATTTTAAATTATTTCAGAAATGTTAAGATCAAAACTTTTAAATGCAAAAAATGCTAATTCTCTGCCTCAGTATGAAGTCTTTATTTGAAGGCTTCTTTGTTCACCCTAAATGAATAATAACCTTAAAGAAATTTTTTAAATTTAAATGGTAGTTATAGAAGGAAAGTCAAATGGAGACATGATGATTTACTTAGATAATTCCAGTAAAAATACAAAATCAAATATGTAGTACTTAGTTTTTACTTAATATCTGAATTATCTGATTTTTTCTTCTTTCCACTGTTGGTATAGTGGCTACATAACCTTGAAAGATCAGTTGAGGTTGCACAACTGTAGAGAACGCAAATTAGGAGTTCTGGAAAAAGCACCCTATAGTTTATGCCATTCCTTGAGAATCGTGATTCATTTTGATCAATAGTGAACTATGTATATACAGTACTGAGATAGAAAAATCCAACTTTTCATGGTTTCCTAGTCACAGAGAGTAAAGTGGGCCATGAAAGATTTGGTGTATGTTATGCAACATTTTATAGAAATATGATTTCCTTAAATTTTCAAATCAGAAAAATACTTCTTTATATTTTCAGACTACATTTCTGTACTGGATATAAGAACATGACTATAAAAATGAAAACATTTTCCCTCCTTGAAATCAGATGTTTCAGAGCATTACAACACAGTCATATAGCATTAATGATAAAATTACAACTGAGACAAAATCATTTTATGATACAAAAAGCAAAAGAACAAATGTATTCACTATAATTTGACAATTCTGGACTGCAGAGAACAACTACTTTAACCAACCTTTATAATCCATTAAACAATTGTATACTCTGAATAGGCAGTACACCTTTAAGGAAAAATATATTAATCAAGGCTTCCAGACATTTACATATAAAAATATTATGTTGGAATGCTTGTTAAAAAATTAAGGGAAATTATCTTGAAATAATTCTTTAAATGAGCTATATGCATCCATTTAGCTCTTGTTACACACAAATGTCTTCTCAAGTTAAAAAAATTCCCCTTATTTGTGGGTAAATTAAGCTATGAAGTATTTCTAAAAGACTTGTGTAATGTGTTCAATGTTCATGCATCAGGACAAACATTTTCATGACAAAGACAAAAACAAGTAAAATGAGGACCTACATATATTTTTGAAGTAAGGATTATAATAAAAAAAATTTTATCTGTGAAGATGAAATATGGAAACCACAATAACTGCTCCTGTTTTTACATTTGTATACATTGAAATACATTTGTATTACAATGTGATGAGTACATGATTTGGATTTCATACTTTACTCCAGAAACTTCATCAGTCTCCCACTTTTAAATCTGGCAATGGATGGAGCATATTAATAAATTCACCTACAGCATACCTTTGACCTCATGGAGTGAAGCATTATTGATCAAATGGTTGTTAACAACAATAAAATTCAGTATAGGGGGGTCAATGCTCAATGTACAATCATTAATCCATCTCAAGCCTAATTCTCGTCAGTCTCCAATCTTCTGAAGCATAACGAACAAGTTCTTACATGGTGAACGAATTCTTACAGAGTGAATAAATTCTTACACGGTGAACAGTACAAGGGCAGTCATCACAGAAACTTTCGGTTTTGATCATGCAATATGACCTATAAACCATCAGGTCAAATATGAATATTCATTTGATTTTTGTACTTGATTTATATGTTGATCCCACATTTCTCCTATTATTATTATTATTTTTATTTTTAATAAAATGCTGAAGTGGTAGGTAGATGCAAGATAAAGGTAGAAAACATAGTTTAGTGCTGTAAGAAGGCAAATGTAGATGATCAGATGATCAGGTGTGTGCCTATGGACTAAGTATTAATCCAGGCTAGACAAGGGCAGCAAGACATCCACGGATGCAGAAGATTTCTCTCAAAGCAGGGGGGGTGAGGTTCTGAGCCTCACCTCTGTTGATCCCCAAATTCTCACCTGATGGCCCCCCTGCGACTGTGCCTGTCTTAGGTTGTTCCTCCCTTGAGGAATCTTACCCGTCTCTGGCTAACCAGTCATCTTCCGGGGCCATACAGGGAAATGTAAAGTTGGTAAGTGAGAGAGAAGCCATATTGTTTGCAAAGGTTAGCTTTTTACTTCTTTGCAGATTTATGCCCTGTGGCTTCTATGCCCAGCACTTGTCTCGAGGTATCTTTACCACCTGGAGGAATTATGATACTCGGTAAATTCGATATGAGGCACGAATTCTATTTAAGGTTTGTAATTAGGAAGGAAGAAGAAAAGCTATAGATGTAGCATATGAAGGAAACTTGGGAGGATTGATTATTTCTTTGACATATCTTCTTGTATAGTACCTTAAGTATGTATAGGTTTTAAACTACTAACTAATTTGCACACACATATTAACATAATAGGAATACGGTGACATAAACAAAGCAAATCTATAATTACCAGCCATCTCCAGTGAAGCCAAGAAAACCATTTAGGCACCCTAGGCATTTGTGAAAATTTATCTATGATATGATGGATATTTTCCAACTGTACTTGAACCATCAGACAAATTAAAGCAGCCCATTTCTGGGATCTGTTCACATCCCATATGTTCTTTTAACCATAGATAGTCTATAGTCATGAGATTTTGGGGTGCTACAACTTGCACCCCTCCCAACTCCTGGTTGAGTTCCAACAGTACAGATCCAGTCAAATTCGTTGTCTCACTGTATGCACATGCCAGCCTAGACATCTCCCTCCTCCTTCTTATGGCAAGTCCAGGAGATGGTGGGCTGGATGCAGCCACAACCGCAGCATCGTCCGGATCCCTGTGGAGGCTTTTTGATGATCATCCCCCGGCACGAGTCCTCCAGAGAGTGCTGATGCCGGAAGCTCCTCCTCATATCGTATCTTAGTTCATTTTCTGGGTATCCAAGCTAGGCCTTGATCTTCTGCGTAGAAACAAACAGACCCTTTGCCCACACTTTGACATGCCCTCTATACCACTGTGCAGAACTCATTGGAGGTCAGCACACAGTAACTTTTTTTTTTTTTTTTTTTAATTAAGAGAAAGGAATATTATCAGAAAAGAGTACCTCCATAGCTGATCATCTGACACCCTTTAAGTGATCAACATTAAGGATATTTAAAGCATGCGTTGATCTTTGATTTACCAATAGTTTTATCCTGTTAAGGAGTAATCCCCCTTTTCTTTCTTTCTTTTTTTTTTTTTTTTTTTTTAAATTTTTAATCTACACTTACCTGAAGAATACTATGTTTACTATGCTCTCCCCTATATCAGGTCCCCCCTAACAACCACATTACGGTTACTGTCCATCAGCTTAGCAAAATGTTGTAGAGTCACTACTTGTCCTCTCTGTGTTGTGCAGCCCACCCTCCCCTTTCTCCCTCCCCCCCATGCATGCTAATCTTAATACCCCCCTTCTTCTTCCCCCCCCTTATCCCTCCCTGCCCACCCATCCTCCCCAGTTCCTTTCCCTTTGGTACCTGTTAGTCCATTTTTGGGTTCTGTAATTCTGCTGCTGTTTTGTTCCTTCAGTTTTTCCTTTGTTCCTATACTCCTCAGATGAGTGAAATCATTTGGTATTTCTCTTTCTCCGCTTGGCTTATTTCACTGAGCATAATACTCTCCAGCTCCATCCATGTTGCTGCAAATGGTTGGATTTTTCCACTTCTTATGGCTGAGTAGTATTCCATTGTGTATATGTACCACATCTTCTTTATCCATTCATCTACAGATGGACATTTAGGTTGCTTCCAATTCTTGGCTATTGTAAATAGTGCTGCGATAAACATAGGAGTGCATCTGTCTTTCTCAAACTTGATTGCTGCGTTCTTAGGGTAAATTCCTAGGAGTGGAATTCCTGGGTCAAATGGTAGGTCTGTTTTGAGCATTTTGATGCACCTCCATACTGCTTTCCACAATGGTTGAACTAATTTACATTCCCACCAGCAGTGTAGGAGGGTTCCCCTTTCTCCACAGCCTCGCCAACATTTGTTGTTGTTTGTCTTTTGGATGGCAGCTATCCTTACTGGTGTGAGGTGATACCTCATTGTAGTTTTAATTTGCATTTCTCTGATAATTAGCGATGTGGAGCATCTTTTCATGTGTCTCTTGGCCATCTGTATTTCTTTTTTGGAGAACTGTCTGTTCAGTTCCTCTGCCCATTTTTTAATTGGGTTATTTGTTTTTTGTTTGTTGAGGCGTGTGAGCTCTTTATATATTCTGGACGTCAAGCCTTTATCAGATCTGTCATTTTCAAATATATTCTCCCATACTGTAGGGTTCCTTTTTGTTCTATTGATGGTGTCTTTCGCTGTACAGAAGCTTTTCAGCTTAATGTAGTCCCACTTGCTCATTTTTGCTGTTGTTTTCCTTGCCCGGGGAGATATGTTCAAGAAGAGATCACTCATGTTTATGTCTAAGAGGTTTTTGCCTATGTTTTTTTCCAAGAGTTTAATGGTTTCATGACTTACATTCAGGTCTTTGATCCATTTTGAGTTTACCTTTGTATATGGGGTTAGACAATGGTCCAGTTTCATTCTCCTACATGTAGCTGTCCAGTTTTGCCAGCACCATCTGTTGAAGAGACTGTCATTTTGCCATTGTATGTC